TAGCAATTGCCGTCTTCACAAAATTACTGGAACAGCAGTTTGGAGTCAATTACATCATCAAAATAAATGGATCTTTGCTACTACAGCCGATATTGAATCTTCAATGGTATGCGGATCTGAAACCAACCTCATCATCATTAAAAATTCCGGAATAATGGAAATTGGTCCTACCTGCGTAATAAAAAACAAATTTGTTACGATACATGGACATTTTGCAGCTTCCAGTAGTTTACATACATCCTATGTAAGATTGAAAGGCATTCAATATATAAGTCGACAAGAGGAAATTGAAAAGGTTTCAACAAATACCAATACCACCTCTTACAAGATTCATCAAGAAGAATTGGATAATATACAAAAACAGTTGCATGAATCAACTCTAAAACACCTACCACAATTAATTCACTCATCAAATCAACATCATCAAGCAGTTAGCTACGCATCTTTAGCTTGCTGCATTCTTATTTTACTTGGCCTGCTGAGTTGGAGGATCCACACAAAATTTAAGAAGCCATCTCAATTCATACCTACACCAGCTATAAGATCTCATCAATCAACAATCGATGTTACAATGGAGTCATTCCCACATGCATCCAACCCAGGCGCAATCATTGAACAATGTCAACGCGGCGGAGAATGTTAAAACATACATAAATATTTTTTTTTATTGTTCTATAAACATACTTTAGATTTAATTACCAAAACAAACAATAAATACAAAAATCAAACACACCTACATATTTATAAGTTTTAAAAACTGCTTATACAGCATTATTATATCACATATTTGGACTATTTATTGTTACAGTTAATTTTCTTTATTTTAGTTCATTGACCATTGGTTCATTCACTTTTGCAATGTTTTTAAGTTTCTTTAACACATTTATTTATTTTGCTTACATAGCATTTAATGTCTACTAGTAACCGACCTACATTACAATTAATTTATATCAGCATTTATCAATAGCATTTTTTAATTAATTATGTTAAGAAATTATGTATATAAAGACAGCCAGAAATAAAGAAAATTCAGTCGTCTTTTGTAGTGACTAAACTAAGAGTTTTAATTACTATCTAGGCGGCTTCCTTCAAGTTCATGTGCTTGGAAGGAAATTAATTTGGATACTAAGTGTCAGTTCAAATTTATGTGTTTGGATTGAATCGCACTAGATCCTACTATCACAACAACTAGGAAAGGAGTTTTTTTTTTTTTTTTTTGGTAAACGTTCCTATTATATATTTTTTTATTGAGAAGAAGGTGTTTTTTCGGAGGTTTCCATTTGTTTCTAGGTTCATATCTGGAAACTGCTGGTACTTCATAATTATATCTCCCCAAACATTGAATTAAAAAGGCTTTAATTGAACAACAAGTAATGGCGCAAATCATTTTTATTGAATCTGATTCGGTTATTTGAAATTCGATATATAGAAGATACGGTGGAATAAAAAAAAACATTAACATAACATTAATTCTCGATAATCGTCGTTTATTTCGTAGTTCCAAAATGGAATTATTGAACGCGGAAAAGAATCAAATTATTTTATATCTCGCTGAAAAAGAAACTATTTTCATATTTTGATTTTTGAGCACCTTTTGGCCTATGTTTCCCAATGTGCAACCCCTAAAAAAGTACGTTTTTCAAATGAGGAAGATTGCGCTTATAAATTGCATATTACTGCAACAAAAATAAGGCATTTAAAGCGGAAAATGGGTTTATTTTCGGAACTAGGTTTGCTATCACCATGTTCCAGATATGAGCCTAGATAAGAAACCAGTAGGTAAATGACAACAGCCGACTGTTATGAAGTGCGTATTACGCCTTGGGAGCGTTTCAAATTCGATATTTATCTGAATTGATCTGAAATATAATTTACCGAGATATTTGTACGCTGTATGTACACGTTCGATGTGCTAGATTTGGGCGATTAATCGCATTCTAAGCAATCACACTTCCAGCAATAGCACCTTGGCTAAAACGAATGCTATTGATTCGGGGGATTGTGGAGTGTGTAACGTTGAAGATTCGTGACGTCCTATATTCGTCAAGGAAATAAGGACACATGTGGTGGAAAATTTTGTATCAGAAAAAATACCTATTGTATTTAAAAAAAGAAAAGAGCAAAATCAGCTGATTTTTGGTGCTACATGGTAATGACAAATTCTGAAATATACGAATACGTCCAATATTGTGTAGCAATTGGACGTGTCGTATCATACATAGGTCGCATTGCAGTCGAGGAGTATACTAATGTGTACTCCTTCGATTGGAGTAATTTCGACGTACCGCAGAAATTGCGCATGAAAAAACAAGTGCCAACACCTATGTAGAACACACACCCTCTGTCAACAGAAAGTCGCTTCAAACGTCATTAATTTTGATCAAGGTGTCAATGCAGAAAAGAAAATAAAGCAATAAGTTAGTTGGCATTGGAATCACGAGTGCATGCATCCAGTGTTTGTGAAGTTGGCCAACAATGTGAAAAGTGTTCGTATGGATTATATACATATGAATGTGTGTGTGTGTGTGTGTAGAACTGTAAGAGTGGTGGATTTTTGTTTTTAATTATGGTTGATTCTTTGTGTGCTTAGCTTGAGTTTTACCGTCACCGTCTACTGGCTTTTCAATGTGTATCTGAATGTTACAATTGCCCGCTAGTCGCCCGCGTTGTGTTCAAAGTGATTGTGGTGGTTAGTCGTGATGTAAAATAGATTTGGGGATATTTAGAAAACGACATTTGTTTAGTTACCACATACAGATTTGGAACGGAATCAAGGGTGTAAGGAGAGACTGAATAGGTCAACAAAGAAACAAAATCAAACAAACAGCAAAGTGACTAAAATAGATTGCAATTACATTGCGTTGAGGCGAGGCTAGGCGAGGCGCGTTAGATGGCTCAGTGGGTGAAGAAAAGAAGGTGGTCAATAGCCGGATGACTTGCAACTTACAAATGACTGAGTGTGGTGGTCCTCCTGTCGATTGCTACACAACAGGATACTTGGATTGGAATTATAGTAACTGCCTTAAATGCACTTTGTCGGGTAAAGGTTTGCGAGAACCCTCGACCCGAATGGTAAAAATTGCCTATTAAAGGGGACAGATTTTCCGTTTGTCAACAATTGATAATAAAAACTTGGGACTACGAAAACAATACCTTATGAACGGCCATGTGACTTCGAAAATATGTACGTCGGTCGTAAAAAATTTTAAAACTTTCAACAAAATATATCGATGCTCCCAGTTGGATAATAAACGAATTTTATTATAGAACTCATCCATCGCTTTCAAGTAATTTTAAACTATCTACGCAATAGGAGTGAAATATTTTTTGTGAAGTCGCCTGATTTTCCAAATGGATTGAAGGAAACAGTTCTTTGTTCTTTTATACATGCATGTGTCTATTGACATAAATACACCAAAGAAAACCCTTACCACTAGTGGGATTCTCTAACTCATGTTTAGAGTTAACGACAAAAATAGTCAAATTAAAATGCTTATAATTTCTGCAACTATTCAACTTCCCCACTATGGTTAATTTTCTTGTGCTTCCGTATTACCCAAATACGCCAGGTCCATATCTTGATATTTAGCAAGTTGTTGTACCCACCGATTGTAACGTTTGTGTGCATGTCGCATACATACAGTATCATTCTGTGTTTATTTTCGGAGAGGCAACACCATTGTTTCGCACATCTAAACAACACGGTATCCATTCGAATGGAATAAAATGGAATTTTAAAAATTAATAATGAACAAAAGCTATTCAGTCAGTTATAGAGCACGAAATTATTTCCGGTGTCATCTCAACTTAATAAAAAAAATATGTGACTTGCATTATATTTTCCAATTACAAACATTTTCATTGTTTATTACCTGATTCTGTTTTCAACATAAAAAATTGTTCAATTATCAGTCTAGAACTTTCAAATTTCGTACGTCCGACGTATTTGGGTAACTTTCATGTAAATAAATGTGTTTTACTTATGTGGTGTAACACATTAACTAAGCGCGTCGAATTTTAGGTAGCGCCGTAAAACAATGCAAGAATATAAAAGTTTTAACTCCTACATCTATGGTATCGAAAAATATATTAAAAATAGTTAATTCTTGTAGTTCGGGAACAGAGCAATCGACAACGCGGCCTAGCAACTGATTTTGGAGCTTCTATCGCAAGGTCCAAAAACAACGATTGATTTTGAAGATCAATGTGAAAACATAAAAATGGCTGTTTTAGGACACAACATACCTTCGTTCAAAAACCCTGCAGACTTCTTTTATGTCTGCGCACAACAAAACCGAATGTTTAGCAAATCCGATCTCTCGATTTCCCTCCGTATACGCAAAGAATTAAACTACGATCAATATTTGGATGTCGTACATATTTTAACAGTGTAGTGAAGGATGAACTGCTATAGTTCCAGGACGCTTCCCCGTGGAACTCCATACTTCAAACACGTACGATTTTCCATTTGATCGCGTAAAGAGGACTTTGTGATTTAAAAAAGTTAAAACTTGAACATTTGCATTCCATTTAGTTCCCGCAGAAATAGTGGGTCGTGTGAAGTTGGGGGAAGAAAATGGTTCACTTGGTTCAGTTTCACAATGGGGAGGGCGAGTGCAGTAATTTAAAATGCGAAAAAATTGCATCATTTCGTGAGACAATGCCTATCCTAGAAAATCGAAGGTTAACGTTGGTATGGGCTGTGGCACTTCTATTGCACTCCTTGCTGTGTGTACATATGTGCATCAGTCACTGGCTCACCTACGCAGGTAGTTGCAACGTAATTCGTGTTCGAACATAGACACACTTACGCCATTTAATGAAACACAAACTTATTAGTCACTCACACTGACACACAAATAATACTATGGGAGGGTACAAAGGGGGATAAGGTATTTGGAAGGAATTCAAAAGCACAAATGGAGGGGAATGAAACAACACCGAGCCAAATCAAAACAGCATTTGGAATGAATTCGTGTAGAAGCTGTCTGTCGACTTACCAATACTGGTGTCGTAGGCATGCAGATATTCTGATGTCATAAACTGCGAAACCAGAGAACTCTTGCCAACAGCTGGGCCCCCCATCATGAGTACTCTGCAAGAAGAACAATCATAAGTGCAACATGTCTTTGGAGTGTCTCAATGTGAAGAGCTCACCTGTACGGGCCATTGCCCGGGTTGGAAGTGCTACTTTCTCGACTTGATGCCAAACTATGGGTTGCGGAGTTTCGCGTCGATTGAGTTACTGGCGGAGCGGTTAGATGTTCATTGCTGCAATGGCAAAAACTTATGAAGAAGCTACATCGAATCCTATTTGTTTGTTGAAACTCACCTCGAATTTGAACTGGCTACACTGTTGTTTGATCGACTGCGACGGCTTTTTAAGGAATCGCCGCGATTTATTACACCCTTGCCTGTTATCGAGAAATGCCTTAGTCTGTAGTATTCTTCTTCGACGCCTGTGTTCGGCATTGACGCCACCCTATTTGGGGATGAATAAGAGGCAGCAGATTAAATATGCTAGGTATGCATATACATATATATCGACGAGTCCATGCATATGTATGTGTGCACTTTTGAGTACCAACCTTGAACGTTGTTGCGGCAAACACAACTGATTTGGTCTGCCAGATGCCCGACTGCCAGGAGTTTTAACTGACTGCGATCGGCTGTGATGTGGCGAACCATACCTGGGTAAAGCAGTGGAAACGTTAAGCTCTTCTCAACGCAGCCTTGAACGATGTCCTCACTTACCTCATTTCGAAATCTCTCAACTCCTCCAGTGTTAGTGTATTGGTTACATCCAATAGCTGCCTGATGTTGTCATCACGCTTTTGTTGTGGGCTGTATTGCCCCAAAGCCGGCGCCTGACTTAACTGTTGCGAACTCCGCTTACGACCGTTCACGGGGTTGGCATTTTGCGATTCCTTGTCTTGTTCGACACTGATAAAATCATTTTCACTTTTTATCAACAGGGTTTCAATTGTACTGTCTAAGCTAAGCGATGGCTGTAAAGGAAAGGCAGAGAGACGATATTTTAAATATCAACAACATCTCGAGTTCGGTATGGTTTTTTCTTGTTTTGCTAGTTGAAGTTCTGTTCATACTTATGCTTTTTCACATGTGTGTGGAATTGGATAATACGCGACAAGAACTCTTACCAATCTTTCAAATCTTGATTTTTCAAAGCAAAAAATTGATTTTGAACTGAATTTTCAATTTATTTTTCTTTTTTGCCCTAAAGTTGTGGACACACAAGCAGCCGTTGCATGGTATATTGGGCCAAATTGTAAGGGATAACGGAAATTGTCGAATTCTAATGCGTATCCGAGGCGAGGTCATGGTGCAATAATTTCAAGGGAGCAGCGAACCTCAGCTGATTTGACTCTTCGGTGATACTGGTGTCAAATTTGAATGACGTTTTGTGATTTCATTCCATTTTTTTTGTTATACACAAAGTATACATTTTAGGATATAATTTATGAAAAGAGCAATGCAATGAGGAGATTTTATTCCTAATAACAACGACATACTAAGAGAACATCGATTACTACCCAATGCAATTGTCCCACACTTACTGATACCACCCCCAAGACAAACATTTACATTTAATGATGAGTGTCATAACATGCGAAACAAATCAGCAATTTTATTTAAATTTTGCGTATCTCAGTATTTCTATCAACATTAGCTCTAATATAAGGTGTGTATGGTTGCCCTAAAATTTGTAAAAATTGTTGCAAAATTTTACAGGAAGTCGTCTTTGAACACAAAAGATCTGCAAAAAAGAGCGATTTAAGAGAACAATTTAGACAGTTCTTTCACTGAGAGTTTGCAAATTGTTGCTAGAAAAATTTCTTCTTGCAATCACTTGCAACTCTTCTTCTCCTCCTTCCGGTGAAGTATATTTGGGAAAGAAATTTCAAAATATATATATAAATTTGTTTTTTTGAAAACGCAAGCACAATTGTTTTGTTTTTCGATTCATTTCTATTTTTTATTTTCTTTCATTTGCCGACAAATCGCTTTGGTTTGATAAACCAGTTGATTGCTAAACCAGTTTTTGCACGGGTTCCGTCTTCAGACACAATTTAAAAAATAAGAATTTTTAGAGTTTGCAAAGTAATATGTGTCATAGTGTGTATATGTTTGTGTTGTACTTTACGTCATGACACAATGTTAACATTTCTTTTAAATTTGTGATACATTTCTACTTCTGGTTTTGTCACATTTATTTTAAATCTGAATGACCTCGCCCTTGTATTCCGATTTAAAAAACAACAATCGTTCATTTGCGTGCATACACATACATTCATGCCAGTGGCGCTATCGGGCGGCACATGTTTTACATACGCAATGTCACATTTTCCATATGTTGTAGTTAAACATATCGTGTGAAACATAAACGCCTTTTCGATTGTAAACAAAACAATGGTAGAATTAAAAAGGTAAAGTCATTTCATGTAAGCATGCCCATCTCTGCATTTGTGGCTGCATCCAATATGATGATGAGGATCAATAGGAAACGTCTCAGACTATGAGGAAATAAATAGGGATAATAAAAGTGACAGCACATATGTCCATTCTGAGTTATTCCTACCACCCAGTTTTGCCTACTTGAGAGCCTTCGATAGCATAAAAGCGGAATAGTCTGAAGGAATCTTGTTGAAAACTATTAACTCCACACTCTTTATTTTGTTGACAAAGCAAATATCTCAATTTTTGTTTGTTTTTTTTTTTCAAAAACCACAGACATATAAAAGAAGAAGAAAAAGGAGGGTAGCCCCTTACGATCGTTGCACCTACTCACCTTTTTCCTGAATGAAAGTTTCTTACAAATACGTTTATAAAACGTCGTCATTGTGGGTTCTTGGCCTCTGATTTGATTTAGGGATAGATATATACCATTCATTTAGAGTGGAAATCTTTCTTAATTGGATTTATAACTTTCAATTTATCTAGCGATTTGAATTTTGTGTACTGTGTACCTATGTATACGCGAATGTTTTTATTTTAATTTGTTTTTTTTTTTTTTTTTTTTGCTATCAGCACTTGAAAATAACGGATGAGATCAAACACAAATTGGCCATAGATTTATTTTCTTTTTTAAGTTATTCTGTTTTTCCTTTACAATATTTTCACTTGGGGTTCTTGGCGATGTTTCTGTCAAAAATGTGTGAACAATCTTCGCCGAATTTAAGTGTGTGTTTCTTGGACCGCGTATCGTAAACAAATAATAAGAGATCGTACGACGGCTCCCAATTTTATATAGACTAGATTAGGTGTGTGTGCGAAACGATTTGTATACGTTTTCTCTTAGCGTGAACAGAGACAGAGAGAGAGAAGGTCGGCGGTTGGAGGGACATAGAATGCGATTTTTCGTGGAAAACGAAATGAGTTGAAATAATTTTATAAACATAATCCGTAAATGTTGTCCACTACACCATTTACAAGTGCAAAATTGTTGCGCATCTGAGTGCGAAGGCTTAGAATCCTACAATTCTTTTTCTGGAATATCCAAAATTGAAGATTTTATACCATCCGTCATATAGAATGAGTAATTATCTCAAGACAATCGTTAGGGATTAAAAGCCCTAGACAATAAGATACTAAAACTGAAAATCGGTAAAAATGCAGGACGTTGCTCTCCTATTATCAAATCCTATGGTAGCGAAAAGTGTGCTATTGTCAGTTGATGTTTCGAGTTCTAATTTATGTCGGGTGATAATCAACACAAAAACTACTCAACTCCATTTCAATCCTTTAAATATGTTTATAGAACTAGCATGGAAAGATTTCCCTTTGAAATGAACGATGAATAAGAATGTGCGTAAGCAGAATCTAGAAAGCTCGATCACACAGTGCCACGTAGGGCGATGAGAGTACACGATATAGTTCAAACTTGACAAATCGCAATATTTATATAAGGTGCGACCTAACAAAGAGTTAACGTTTTGAATAATAACGTCGTAAAATGTCCGATTTTCATCAAACTTGGCACATCCTAATATTTTTGCCATATTGAGCGAATTGACATTGGTCATGATCGTAAGTTGATTGTAATCGGAATAATAACAACTGCCTTACAGTGGAAAATCAATGAGTGATTTTTCATATCCCAATTTTTTTTTGTCAGTACTGAAGATATTGTGAATATATCAAACTAGAGACATATACCACTGGTCAAATGCTTAAGGATAATGATCTGGCGGAACATCGGCTGAAATTGTCTACCTCGAAATATATTGTAGATTTCTGATGCCTGTACGTCAGGTACATTCTTTGCACGTCCCGCAATGGTGTTCATCACGATAATATTTAAGGTACGAGGTAAGCGTGTCATTAGCATTTACTATACATTCTCGAGAAGGAACTGACCAGATTTCCTCAAACAGACGATGAACCTACAGAGTGGACGTGTCTACATGCCTACAAACAACGCACAGTTCAGTTCGGCTGAAACGTTCACTGTTTTGTTGTTTCATTTCCCATTAATGTCAGCGTTTTGTTTATTGTTTGTTTCCCTTTTGTTGTCTTTAACGTGGGCGCGGCGAGTCGCCGCTTCCTATTAACACACCGGAGTGTGTGTGGATATGTATAGGTTATGTCAGCATGGGGCCGAATTTAATGAAAAGTGTACAATTTTACTTGGAACCAATTCGATTGTAGGCGTGTAGGCAATTTCGAATTTTGGAAACCGGGGTTCTCCCTGGTACTTACTTGCTGGACCACAATGGTGGCCCGCGGTGGCTGCGGGCATACCGCGGTTGTTTCCAATGGGTTGGCTGTTACGTTTATGGGCCCGCCGGCAGTGTTTGCGGGTGCCATATGGGGACCTGTCAATGCCACTGCATTGTATTGGCACTCGTCCAAAAAGTCGTGTGTTGGTGCATTGCCGCCGGCAACACTTTCGATTTCCTCAATGGCTGGGATGACGACACTCGGTTTATTTTTAAACGATATCTTACGCGAGTGCATTGCGGATAATTTCTCCGCGAAGAAGTCCACGCGAACATTTGGTAAGGGTGGGGTGTTGCTGCGCGACTGACTTGGACTGCTGGCAGCTGGCGATAGGCATTCAGTGTTGTTGTGGAGGTGGTTTGGTGCGCCCTTGGAGTTCGAGGTGCTGTGTGGGGCGCCTGGGCTGGGCGGTTTAGTGGCGAGGTTCGAAATCGAGCCATGCTTAGGGGCCATTTGTTCGAATTTCGAGGCGATATCCTCGAATTTTTTCAATTCCATGTGTGAGTTGGGCGAGTGACTGGCAGGGGTGGGGGAGCTGTTGTTGGTTTTGGGACAGAATGCGTCCGATTTGGGTATATATTTTTGTGCGAGGGAGTCAGAACGCAGACGTTTGGAGTTCTTGCGGGATAACTGCTTCTGCTCCGTTTGAGACAAGAGCGTGTACTGTTGATAGAAATCTGCAGGGTTGGTGGGGGCATCACAGCGCTTGGCTCTCTCATAGACAGAGCAACTCTCTGCTTCGTCGGTGTCGCTGGTTGTGGTCGATGAACTGGAGTTTTCATTGACGGCGAAGCATTCGCGCTGTATACGCTCATAGTCAAGGGCTTCTCTGTCGAAGGGGAAGAGAATGTTGTCCTTGTATCGCTCACTGCCCCCGGAGGACGAACTGGAGGAGTACTTGCGTTGCGACTGCGTGGTCGGAGAGAGTTGCTTGCGTATCGGCGTGGTTGAGTTTTCAAAAAGGTTGCTGTCTTTTGTTGGGGGTGGGCCAGAATTCCCCTTCGACGTAGCAGACGATGGCGAACGTCGTCGCTCCCGCTTCGGACTTGTTCTGTGCGAGCCTATTGGTGTTCCGGTCGAATATCGATTCCGTTCCGTGGCATTGGCCTCGTTCCCCAACTTCTTGGACGTTTCGCCGAAGTGTGGATGCTCTACGTGGAAGCGGCCGGCGTACTTATGCATTTCGAATGAGTCGGCATCGGGGCATGTCCCGGCTCCCAGCTTGTTATGCCTTTGCTGATACTTCCGTTGCTGCGGGTAGCTCTTCTCGTCCTTAAATGTGAAACAAGTGCGTGACTTGTCACTGCATCGAGCGGATTTAGGCGATTCGGGCTGGTCGAATGTGAAGTGTTTGCCTCCACTTGATGGTGGTGGCGCCGTGCTGGGCAACCGAGGCTTATCCGTCTTTGTGGTACTTGATGTCGATGGAGGGTATTTTCGGCATGACGACAGTAGAGGTGTGGTTGATGTGGCTTCGCCGGTCAGTATTGAAAGGCACGATTCTTGGCTCTGATTGCAAAGAGGCGAAAACAATAGCAATAACAACAACAAAGAATGTCCGTAAATTAGGATTGAAAATTAAACATTTGTTAATGGACCGTCAGAGACGGAGGAAGTGTTTAGCTCCTTTATACCTACCTCCTCTGTACTGTCTTGGAGATTTACATCAGGCCTCGAGTATGACGAGCAGCTAGTCAATTCAAATTCCGTAATTTCTTGCTCGGAGTCAACTTGGATGGCGGTAAGTAGAGGCTCTTCCAGGGAACTGAATATTGGTTCACTTTGTCCAGAATTGTCACCTAGAAAATTAATGATTTGAGTCAGTCGACACGAATTGCCTGGAAAAGGAAGTTTGGGAAAAGGGGTCGTGGTCGCATGCAGAACACGACAAGTGATCTTTGGATTGAGGCAGGCTTTGACAAGGCTCACTCACATCTACATTTACAATATGGACACAACCGAGCATTACCTAAATCTAAAGAGTCGCAGGTTTCAGAGGTATCGGTCTGGGTAACGTTGGTGACCATTGTAGAAGCTGAATCCGTTGATGTGTTGATAATGGTGTCGGTCGTCGAGGCAGTGGAAGAGCCCATAACTACAACCTGGTGCGTTCCGTGTCGTTCGCAATGGAATGGAATAGTCAGACTTAATACAAAGAGGGTGAATGGATATAACGAATTGGAAGTGGTACTTACCTTGGGCACAGCTTTACTGTTGGACGTGGACTTGTTGTTAGGAGGCATGTCCATCGAGGCGTGATATAGGATGCCCGCGTTGCAGGCCACGGAATTGTTGGTCACCTCGATGCTCTTGGTCGCGGAAGATTTCGCATTGGCTTTCGCTTTGGAGCTGCGGCCGCTTTTGAAGTAGAAACGGCGCAAAGCCGTAGCAGACGAGGAGGTGGAGTTGTTAATACCATCGTTGTCCGAGCTGCTGGACCCACCCGAATTCAACTCAGCGGTACCATTTGATCTTCCTGCTGCCAGACAAACTTGCGCTGGCTCCGAATGTAGACCAGTCATTGGTTGCTGCAGCCGCTGCTGGTTGGAAAAGGTCGATTCTGCTGAGCTAATGGCCGCCGAATGCGGTCGACAGTTTGTGGAGCTCCTGGGCACCGAGCCTTGGCCGCTAGGAGTCTGGCTCCTCAAGGCCAGGGCCATAACTGCAGCCGACCGTGTGCTGCTATACGAAGTTGGGATGCTAGTTTTCGGTATGCTTTTGTTTTTGCTAACTACTGTTTTCGTTGGGGTGACATTTCTAAGAGACTGGAAGTGGGTAGGGGAGGTGTTATCGGGAAGGCCATCATCTGGAATGATTTTCAAGTTGGTACGACATGCATCAATATTCGTTTATATCTACACGATCCATGTGAATGACACTTGGCTATATATTCTACTCTGGACTACATACTACTCGGTGCATGGGCCATATGTACACATGTAGCCACATCTAGGTAACTCAGTGTGTATGTGCGGGAATCAAGCCCATCATTACTTACCTATTCCACTGTGGGTCGCTGTTATCGGCAACATTGGATTCGCTTCGCTCGAGGAACGGGGGGAACCTTTGTCGCTCTAAAAAGATAAGAGATAGGTTGATAACGAGCCCTGTTTTTTAGGAACGAACATCATTGCATGTAGTCAACTACAGTCGGTGTCAAAAGAGCGCCAAAGCCGCTGCGCTTCATAGGCTCTCTACAAGTCGTAGTACCATCATAATATTTTAAAAAAGCCATGCCACAATAAGCCGAGTCGGTCCACATTTTGATATAGCCGACATATAACTGTATGGCAGAATTAAGGCGCTGTGGCTGTTTTTGTCATATTTTTGAACAGAATTTACTGTAAATTGACAGTTTGTCTTCCATAAAGATCCAAGTTTAGGTATAGCCCCCATATTCAATATTTTGATGATTTCAGCTACACTCTTCACCGGAATTACTTCAATTTTGGAATTTTCAGTTCGCAGGGCTACTACTTCCTACGGCAGAAAATTTCCTACGCTAAATTGCATATGTGTCTTAATATAGATGGCAGACAACTGGCTGTAGAGGTTCACGTTTTTGTATAGCCACATTCAACTGCAACACCTGATATTCGGAATTTTTAAAATTGCAGCTACATTTTTCAACGGAATTTGCTAATTTCTTTCAACTGTATTTAACAATATTTGTACCTCCGGCTAACTAGCTAACTATAAAGCTGCTGTTCGAGACGATGACGTTGCCTTCAACTTGCAAACTTTGGCTGTTCGTATTCTCGAGAAACGTCACCTTTCGATTTCGAGCAATAAACAGTTATGGATATCCAAAAACTTGTAACAATTGTTGCAAATTGTTTCCGGAAATCGTCTGTTAGCAAAAAGAGAGCGCTTCTTTTACGGGAGCAAAGTTGCAAAATGGGTAACTCTTCTTTTTTTTTCGTTCATTTTCTTTTTATGACACACAAATTGTTATGTTCTGACAAATCAGGTGATTTTAGAAGGATGCTGTCTGGAAAACTACCAGAGGACACTTGCAGGAAAAGTAACCAGACAGATCTTATGTCGGAAAAAAGAAAAACAATGTTTTGTCTTATCACAAACCTACGGAAAGGTGCATCGACACCACATCATTCTATCTTCATGAAATAATCAGGGCCAAATATCGAAGAAAAATAGGAGAAGCAGACAAGCATGTTAAGAGTTTCATTTCGCCATCAGTCCCGTCTCCTTTAACGTGGAACACTCAATTTGCTATAGTTGAAGGCATGGCTTAATAAGAAAGGTTGCTCAACTTCAAGGAAACTGGGAAAAATCCACAAAACTTGAATGGTATATTTGGTTTTCTCCACAGAATTGAATCCAAGATAGAAGGACACGATTGTTTCGTCCCAAAACTGTACATTTTGTTGCGCGTTGACATGGAAAATATGCATTTCTTTTGTCTCTAAATTTGAAACAATTTCATTTTTATTCAAAACAATACACACACATATAAAATCTGTGTAGTTTTTGACAGAATGTGAACACCTTTGCCTTCTGTAATTGTGCCATGGTTGAGGGTATGATTCATGGCGTCGATGTTGTCGAGAAGACAAAGAAACCTTCAGCTGATGACGATAAGATTTAATTAACCGATTGCGGTGAAGAAAATCTGCTATCTTTTTAGGAGACGGCGGACTCCTGATGTCAGTACTTCGTGGACTTTTAACAGAAAAACAACGGGAGGCAACGGCTAACTGCATAGTGTTATAACAGCAATAATGTATCGCTTTTTTGTGGTTATTGCAATGGTCTCCATGGCCTGTACCGCTAATGGTATGTACATGCATATGTCTGACGTGTGTACGTCATAATTCTTAAACGCTCTACGAATCGTGTATCTTAAAATGTCCGTGTCGATGGCAAACATTTTCAATTGTCTATTTGTTGGGGTGACGTATGCGTGAGGGTGAGTGGGCGAGTAGTTTTTTGGTTCTTGGATTGCTACGTAAATGGTGACAAAAAGTCCCCCGGAGAGAAGTCATTTAAACAAGTGTCTGTTTTTGAGATTTCGCATGAAGGCGATACAATTTTTGGAAAAACAAACACCAACACGTATATGCGCACTCAGTTCGCAGGAAAAAAAAATTCGAAACACACAAATTTTCAAAATTTAGAAATATTAGTAAGTGGCTTTGTCGGAAAAGAAAAAAACGCTGATTACATTCGTATTAAGTTCAAGATTGTCCCCATTTTTTCTTTTATTTTTATTGTATGCATGTAATGCGATAATGCAATAAAAAGATCGGGCATTTCACTGATTTTGACGTTCTTAGTATAGAACAGGTAAAAATAACTTTTGCTCTGTTCCACAACCTTTAAGATTCTACTAGTTTTGCAATGTTTTTTTTTTTCGAAATCATAAAGGGAAAATCGGTTATTGTAGTACTTTGAACATTAAATACCCTCCACCATCAGCTAAAGAAACAGTTTTATATAAAAATATCTGGATTCGAACTTTTTTGACACAGGTTGTAAAGTTCATTATGAACTACAATTACTAAATTCTACATAAATCAGTTGGAAAATATGTCTGAAATTGTCAAAATACCGAATATTCGAATATACCATTATATGTGCGCTATAGGAAAACGTGGACCTACATATAGAATATAATGGAAAAATGTGGTTGAAACCATGGTACAATGATGTCAAGGTAGGGCTATGATACCATATGATTTTAATTTTTTTATTTTCTTGGCTTAATATGTCATCTTTATTTGTTTATGTATGTGTTTTCTTTTCAATAACAAAAAATTGTTCAGAAAACATTCAAATTCGGATGTTTTCAAAATGTTTATTTCATCGTATGCATCGACAAAATCTAGAGTTTTTGTAGTGAAATAATCCTTTAGAGATATATAGAACCTGGTTTTGAAAAGTAGTGTTGACCTTTCATTCAGTTTTCGCTGTTTTCAATTATTTATTCAAAATAAATGCAACAAGTTGTTTGATTTTTTATTGTTTTGATACTAATTCTGACATTACAAGCCAAACAGGTAGACCTCTATACTTGAAATTTTTTCAAAGTTGATCTACCTTCTCTTCATTGTACTATGGTTGAAACTATCAAAATGCCGAATATCTGGAGGTACCGTTATATGGAACGCTATAATAAAACATGGACCTATACTGTCAATGTTTTGCCACCAAAGGTAGAACCCGGTATTTACTTTTCGGTATCAAATTTGTAACAATTCCTTGACTTGGTGACTTAGAATTTTATGCTGATCATGAACATATTTACTTTGTGGAGTCTACGACGAATATTTAGAGATGTTACAAACGGAATGACAAATTCGATATATCCTTCTTAACAAGGTGAAGGGTATACAAAGATTATGTCACCATATCCTGACATAGGTGCTAATCCGACTTTACTGTAATAATTAAAAAAAAAACTTTTATAATGCTTTAACAAAAACCTTTTGTGGAGACCCTTTTCGCGGCAAGGACAAAGTTAAAGCGTATTTGGTAATATAGTCGTATTTTTCACGTTTTCTTGATTTGAAAAATATAGTATACTTCATGGTACAATAAAATCAAGGTAGGGCCATGGTACAAGGAAGAGAAGGTATTGAATTTATAAAGGCCGACAAACCGTTCTGTTCGATTTAAAGTTTATTAACAGAATAAAATATGAAAAACAGAAATACAATTTTCATTACATTAAACAAAATTCAAAACCTACTAAGGATGAAATTTAACAAGTGAATGTATTCAAAGTATAATCCAATACTCCTCCTCATTCACTTTAAATTGCATTTCTCGCGTAAGGTTACATGTTTAGGTGCTGTTAGTGGTTTCGTTAATATATCGGCAATCATCTCCTCCGTTGGACAATATGTGCATCTAATTATTCCTTTCTTGACTAGGTCTTTTGTTAATTTATATTTTGTATCGATGTGTTTAGTTCGAAAAGAAAATTTGTCATCATTTACTAGACGCAAACAGCTTTGGTTGTCATTATAAATAAGAGTTGGTTCATTAATAGGATAATGAATTTCTTCTAATAGTTGCCTTAACCACTTTGCGTCTTTAGAAGCTTCAGATAATGAAATAAATTCAGCCTCGCATGTCGATGTTGCCACAATTGATTGTTTCTGGCAAGACCATCCTATCGTACCTCCATTATAAAAATAAATTCTACCACTATTAGATTTCCTTTCGGTTCTTTCTTCTGCCCAATTTGCATCAGCATATCCAACAAGACTTTGTTCATTTTCATCATTGCTCAAAAAGTTGTCCAATTAATTTTCTATACTTCATATTTGTTTCAAGAAGTGTTGAATCTTCTGATTTTCCGTAACTAACATCCATTGGCGTTTTTACATTTTTAGAGTCCTGCATACCATATTCGTTTACAACTTTTCCAATATACGAAGATTGAAAGAGTTGAAAATTTCCTTTGTAATCTTGTGTTATTTCGATTCCCAGATAATGTTTAATTTTTCCTAAATTAACTATAGTGAAATTCTTTGACAAAGTATTACCAATATAATTCATCTGCGTCGATGTATTGCATGCTACAATTATGTCATCAACATAAACAAGAATGTAGCTCAATTTCCCAGAAATATTAAGCAACGAGTCGGGCTTTAAATCTATTTACTTGTCCATCAACATCACGTTTCACTTTATATACCCATTTACTTCCGATTGCTGTTCTACCTTCGGGTAAACTGACAAGTTCCCATGTTTGATTTGCCTGTAGAGATTCTAGTTCATCTTGCATAGCTTCCAACCACTGCGCACGCTCGGTACTGTTAATTGCATCGTGGTATGATTTCGGTTCTCTAATTTCATTCGCTGACCATATTTCTTCAATTAGTCTTTTCGGTGCAGAACCTTTGTTGCATCTTTTGGATGTTCTAATATGTTGCTCACAAATATTGCTGTCTTGTGTTGAGTTAGTGCTTTCTTCATTTGGAATATTTATTGAATTTTCCTCTATATTATTTTCATCCGGTAAATTATTTCGGCCCTCAATTGGAATATTGATTGTATTTTCTTTTACTGAATTATTTTCGGGTATCTCCTCCTCAATCAATAA